TATCTGCAGATTGAATTCCCTCTATAAACGCTTGAAAATAGTTTCAATCGGTTCCGCTTGAGACCCAGTAGACCTTTCTCTTACCTGGCTCGGCACCACTTCACTCTATTCCTTTACCCGAGGTAGAACCATCACTTCACTCTATGCCTTCACTCGAAGGAAGATGTGAACACTTCTGTTCCCTAGGGTCACACAGCAGAGAGACATCGAGGGGTCCTGAAGGGCCGCCGCCTAGTAGTTAGCTCATCGTTTGAGGGAGATCGCTTCCGGATACGGGCAGTTTTTGACGTGATAGCTTGGCATAGCCTGGTTTACTGCATAGAGGAATACCGCTTACTTTGTTCAGCCGCTCAGATCGGTTCATGGATAGGTAAGACACCTTGATAATGATAGAATAGGGATATCCTTTCAAAAGATCAGCTCTTGTAAGTCCAGCTTGAGGTAAAGGAGTATCAAACTAGCCACATAGGCAAGAATCAGTGGAATCAGGTCTTAGGTAGTCTCTTAATAGTCTAGCTTACTGCATTTCAAATTAGCAAGAAACTGATAAGAACATTCAGAAACTATGACAATGGAGCTCCGCTATTCTGTCGTCAATGGATTCTATAAGATCCCGCTATTCGAAAAGTCCTATGGGATGGCGGCTTACTCGGTCCAAAATCGTGGTCCATTTCCGGCATAAGAACCAAGGGGACATCTCTACGACCGTACTCAGAAATCGAGAATGAACGGGAAAGGACCCTTATCGGGCCCCTCCTAGATGAAGGTGATATGATCTGTAAATAGAATTGTAGTGGCATATGAACAGATAGCTGGCTTATGCAATCGTTTGGAAAGGCAAGCGATCCTTGAACAAGCGTTTATAGTTGTTCTTATTCCTGAGCTTCCCCCTGGACGTGTTCTCGTGCAGGATCACTCTCCTGCCTGGTCATACTCATGGTACAGTAGCGGGTGGCAGTGCACAACGAGAACGATAATGCTATACCGAAAACTGTTGGGCAGTTCCCTCCCATTTCCTATGCTTAGGAGTTTCCTCTGAAATCTGCAAGCATTGGAGAAATAGCGCATTACTGAAGTTACCTAATGAACACATATTTGTTGAGAAAAGGTTCTCACCCGCTTACTAGTCCTACATAGGAACGAGACTCCCTGACGAAGTTTACCTTTTCCAATTGTAACCCTACTTTCAGTTATTTCCACATGGTAGCATTCTTATGAAGAGATGCCATGAAGGAAAGTCTATGGCACATCATGAAAAGTCGCCGTGAGTGAGCCCTTTCTCCTGACGGGACCAACAATGCCCTTAGCCCCTTTCGAAATAGTAACCCTAGATCGTTTTGCACATACCGACCATGGCTCCCATTTCCATGGTCAGACAATCGTTACCGAACCTCGGGAGAATAGACGCCTTACTCGGGATGGTATTTTGTCTTGCACAGAATGAAAATCGGTGTATTCAAGCGTCGTAGTCCAGTACTGGTGTAAACCAAAGGCATTGATCTCGCCTTATTACTCAGTTTCGAAGCATATGCCGAATATTTCTTCCCAAAGAAGTTCTCGAAACCAGTCGCCTCTGAAAAAGGTTGCAGTGGTTGTTTTTTCTTCAAACCACGCTCACTTTATCAAACTCTTTTTAGTTCATTTTCGGGACCTTTGCGGGTGTGACAGCAACGGTAGCATCGTTGGGCATCAAGATGGTGAAAGTTCAAATTTCAGCCTTGACCAGCGGCAACCACAGTCAGCAGCCACTGCGTGTGACCTTTCGTTCGACCACGATTTTTCAGGAACCCACCGCTGAGCACTTTTGACCACGAGAACCTGCAAAATTGTCACTGAAGGGTTTTGGTGGCTTAGAAGTCCCTCCAAAGAGGATTGAAGACGATGACAATCGTTCAATCGTGGTTACTTCGTGTTCTATTACCGAATAGTGAGCGCAATTAACCTTGACTCGCTACCTCAACCGTTGATTTAGTACCGCTCAACTCGGGAGACGTTACTCGCTATCGGCAAATCTATACTGCTTCACTCACTTATTTACAACTTTTTTTGACGATTATATGTCATGAAGATATACGGTATACCACTTAGCTATGGAGTGGAGCATGAGAAACTATTATAGATACGTCCCACATAACTTTTTGACAGGATACTGAAAACACGAAAGGGAGGTGGTACTGTGGGAGTAAATAAGTAAACAAAGTCACTAAATTCCATATCCCAGGGTTCCCAGGAGCTCTATTTCCAAAATGTTCAGCATTTTTGAGTGCAAAAATTTTCCATACCCACTCTAGGCTCTTCCCAGCCAGTTTTCAGGCTATATGTATACCAATCGTCACCCTCAACGTCCAATTTCGCGAATTTTGAATAAATTTTCCATACCCACTCTTATTCTCATTTTGGATAAATTTTGAATAAATTGCTCCACAATATGAACCAAGATCTACCTTAGTAAATTATTGATCCTTCCCCTCAGCCAACCTCTACAAAACAAAAAATAAAGAGCATTCTTTTGTCCTGCAACTTGAGTTGCTGCGTCCTACATACATATGAGTCGTTGTCCTTCTCCCTCAAGAGCTCAGGCACCAGGAAAAAACCAGATAGAGTAGATGATTTCAAGCTAATGGGTCCCATTCCTTGCCTACTCTGCCTATAAAATCAAGTGTGCTTGAAGATCTTCTTCATACTCGGGAGAAGAGGAGACAAAACCTAACCTCCCTAACTCAGCTTTCCCACTTTGCCTTTGTGAAGTGGCATTTCGTCCCGAACGTAATCAGGAATCACGCCAATTCCGAATCTTGGCCATTCATAGCCTGGCGTTTGTCTTAGGATAAGCTGTGCCGATCCCTTCAGGGCTCTGAATGAGATCCCCCTACTCACGGAAAAGTTTCCCAAAACACAAAGACAGCGCAGAAATGTGGGAGCTCAACTCCTCTTCGTGAGGTGAGGTTAAAAAGAACTCATAGTAGTGTTTATAACAATATTGGAACAGATTCCTTCTGTTGAATTTCTTCTTACGAGCCAGTTTTATTGGTTTCTGCTGCTCTGCCAAAGCACCATGTATCCTTGAAAAGGGTTTCACCCCATAAATGTTGTGAAGTCGCCATAAATTCAACGATCACTGCACCGCTACCCTAAAGAGGATGCCATGTGTTTGTGGGGGGCTCATTTGCAAGTCGCCACCAAGCACCAAGCAGCTAAATCTCGCTCAGCCGCCAAACCATAAGCCCAAACGTTGACACATAATCAATGTGTCTTAAGACGGAAATATATTTCTGATTCCCCGTTAGGGGGTCGTTTCCATCCACCCATGCCCAAACGGAGGAAAACAATTGTCGGTGCTGCTTCACTGTCTACAGCTCATCTCGTCTCATTTTCGATGTTTGCAATGGTGGCGCCGTCGTCCCCGACGGGACAGGCCGTCGGGTGGTTGGTTGGTTGGTTTGCTGAGGCTGGACGGACGGCTGCTACATGTCCCGTCCGTGCTGAGTCTCGGCGGACGCTGTGAGCGATTTTATCTACAAGGCTGACACGTATTTTGCCGACCGTGAACAGTCATGTACCGTAATCGCACAGAGACGTATTTCATGTGTCGTGTGACCTAATTACACAAAGCCCATGAAGACTCTGTAACGAGACTTGCTGAGGGGGTGAAGGATGGTGGTGGAAAACAAAGTCATGACGCATTACGGAGAATATAAAACCGTCGTCTGGAACAGGCTTAGAGGGGAAGCCAATTGGGAAAGCGCTACAGTTTTTAGAATAGCATTGATAAAGAAGTTTGACCCGCTACGGGTATGATTCAAGGAACTAAAGTATGATCTCAGAGTTTTTCTTCAGAGCTGTTTTCTTTGGCATTATTCGATCCAGATACGATCAGAAGTGATTCAGCGGCATTAAGAGGTACGGCGTGGGAACAAGAACGCATCCCCATATGGTCATTTTTCTTGATCAGGACGAGAATTCATAAAATTGGTTCTATACTTTTTCTCATAGCAAGGATTAAGGTGAGTTAAGGTGTTTTAAGCATTTTTTTGAGCTCCTCCCTATATCTGTCAACTACCATTGACAACAGGGCTATTAAAAGATCCGATAAGGATAATTTGCCAGCTCAAGAGCTTTCCGCCATAGAAACGGTGACACAGCGATAAAGGAGAAGTAAGTAGCCATTTCGATAGCTGCTTACGGAATGTTCAGCAGGAGAGGTAGAGCATACCTTGAAAGCCCTCCTTCATAATACAGCAGTAGCCTCGGCGATTATTGTTTCAGAGACCCTATCCAGACTTTCCATCCCTCCTGATTGGACCGAATGGTAGCAGACTTGTCTGAAAGAATAAAGAGTACCGACTTCAATTACTGCTAACTTCGTCAAGTTGTCGTACGGGCGGTATGCGCGCCCAATCACCCTCGCACTTCATAATGGAAGCTGAGTATGGAAGCGCGTCCCTGAAAGGAACCGCTGAAAGTCAAAGTCTTTCAGTTTCAAGCATCCAGCGAGGTTGGCTCATCAATAATAGTAGGATTCACCCGGTGAGGATCTCATCGAAGTGCCAACGGCTTGAATGGACTACCTAGTATGACTTCACCGTGAGTTCGGTAAGCCTCGTATGTGACATACAAGATCAGCTCCCGAATGAAGAACACCTATGGCCTCTCCTCAGTGAACAAACTCCTGGTCTGGCTTTCACTAGTGGTCAGCTTCTTTCACTAGCTGAATAGACTTTCATGAAACAATCCCTTCAATACCTGACTTGATCAACATGTCTTGCCCTTGAGTTCCTCATTTTTTTATGGAACCACTGAACGCTCTCTCAGAACACCAGCACTATCTGTTTTTTAGCCGATCAAGTCGTTACCTTCCACCAAATAAACCATCTGTCGCATCATTACCGTAGTAGGCTCTGCTTAAATGGCTATTGAAACGATCTCGTGGGGCTGTGTGAGGACAAATGTGTTTGTGTGTGTGCGATTACACTCGCTACGCAGTCCCCAGACGCCCCGTATCAAATGAGGCGAAGATGAGGCGTTGCCGCGGCTATAATGAATAATATCCAATTGAATGATAAATCTTCTGACAGCTTGACTGCTGCTGCTTTCGTTCGTCCCCGTTCATGATGGTTGTTGGCCACTGACGTCTTAGCAGCAGCCGCTACAATAGGCAGGAAATAGTCTCGTCGGCGGCCACGGAGAGGCAACGGCGCCATCGGCGAGGGCGCCAGACGTGCACACGACCGATGACAGCGACATGACGACAGATTTTATGCTAATATGGCCGCTTCACGCCTTATGATCCCCCTCGGTCTATTACCCCCCGAAGGCTCTTCTGGTCCCTTCACCCGCCCGTCCATCGCCCTCATCAAATCCCGACGACACTTCAGTTTGAATGATCGTCTTGGTCAAGTGTTTCAATAACAATTGCTCCTTCATTTATGGTTCCTCTTCTGAGTAGGCAGCAGTTTTTATGCTCACGTCGTTATGATTACAGTAATACAGCAATTCCATTTCAACTGTGATACAATATCCACTTTTAATTTTGTTTGATATTACTTTTTTTGATTTTTTTCAATCTTATTGTGAGTGCCCCATTCCATAAAGACTCTGAACAGGGCTTAAGGCAGTCTCGGCCTCGTTTACCGTTCATTCGTCCTCATGAAGATTTTATACTAGGTAATAAAGTATTTGAAAACGAGTACGAAATTTTTCCTTGAATTGAATTGGATCAGAAGGAGTTAAAGTAAAGCTATCAGTCCTTCACAGCACCTTGGGATTCTTTGGTCATTACTGGATTCCATGCAATAAAAACTGCATGTCATTAGGTCCGAAATTTGCCTGACCGCTCAAACAATATCGCCACATCTTACTAAACCCATTACTTGCTGTCTACAGTTACTCCTTTGTGAACTTTAGCAATCGATCGCTTCCCATTCCTTCCGGGAGAGGTATAAATCAATCAGGATCATTGAATTTAACGTCAAGTGGATAGCCATTTTTTACAACTCCTCGAGAATTTCTTGAGCTTGCCATCCCCGTAGGGCTGACCTGTAGATCGTTCCCGGACCAGCTATGACGGATACAATGTGAATCGTGCCTATCGATCGCTCTGAATTAACTACTCTTTTTTTTTAACTTTTTCTTGTTCCTCTAATTTATCTCCCGGTGTGGAAACACCAATGATTTGTCAGGCCATTTGCTTTTTATGATCCACTTCTAAATTCTAAATCTCACCGTTGGATTGTGTTAATTACTCATTTCACTCTGATCTGGGCATCATTCCCCGGCTTGGGCAAAGAGTACAGGTTATCAGCTTTACAACCTTACCTAGTCTTTTTGGTAGCTGTTATCCGTTGACATACCATTTTGCCGAATTTGTGAGGGATTACGGTATTACAACTCATTTAACCAGTAATCCCTGGTTATTGAGTGGGATTGCATGGGTCAAACCAAGTAGTGACTTAGGCATTTTCAAAACCTCCATGCGTAAATTCAGTTTTTTGGTAATTAGGGTTCTGTAAAACTTACAAAAGTGCCCCGTTTTTTTCCCTCCCGTCCTTCCTCACTTCATTCTTCATGTTCTTCTTTAACCAGTTCGTAAATGGCCTGTTATACTTCCTAGACGTGACACCTATCGCTCAGCTCACTGAGAAGACTGATTGAAGTGGCTGATACGGAGGCTAGGTTGCCATTAAATGGTTCCACCCGAGGGAATTGGTTTATGTAGTGAGAGTATCAAAGAAGTATAGGGCATTTGGAAGCCCTTTCTTGGATGTGATTTCCGGGGTTTTGCCTCGAATATGAAATGGACGACAATATTCGGTGACGATTTCGTTGAGTTGAAGTCAGCTGGTCGTCACCGTTGGAAAAATCGCAACGACGGCATCATTTAAGTAGAGTGGCGTAACAGCTAATGGTGCGGGAGATTAGGCAACGGCTTGCCCTTTGCCGTTTCCCAACGAGCCGACGTTGCCGTCGATTTATCGCACCAACAGTTGTTGGCACCATCCCATCACAGTCTGATCCGAAGAGTTTACTCTGAACCGTGGGAATATGCGAAATACTTCTTTTAACCGTATCTGAGGCAATTCCATGAAAATCCGACACTTTCTTAAATTCTCATGACCGCTTTTGAATGTACCTATCCAACTTTGAAGCAGAAGCCTCTGCTCGGGAAATGTGGCCACTGCGCAGCCGATCTGTGGAGTTCTTCTCAACGTCACCCTGATCGTAATGGGCAATGCGAAGCAGTCAGCCTTCATTTGATTCAGAAACAATCCTCTACTGGAGATTCAGTCCTGGAAATCTTCCAGAAAACTCTCCTGGAGCGAGAACGCTTCAAGCTTCTCTGAGAGGCTACCCTCATGAGAAATCGCAAAAAACCTGCCCAGGACGTCCTTTCCAACAAGATGTTTGGGGATCAGGGAATCTTGGTCACTCTTCAAAAGAAAGGAGTTTTCCAGCCTGTAGCAGAGTAGCGCTGAAATGGCTCTTAGTGGGATCCAGGGTGACAATGATGGATTCTTTTTACTACGGCCTCTCCCCTTCCTACGAATATCCCGGGACTCTCCCACCAACACTAAACAGACTCTCAAAACACTTTGGCGAAGTCCGAAATTTCCATGACCTGTTCGAGTGGCTTCTACTTTGTTACGTGGAAGCCTACTGGTATCATTCCGTTAGTTACTGAGGTACAAGACCTCCCTTCGATGTTTTGCCCTTGCAAACTCGGGTACTCTCTTTGTAGACAGCTTCCAAGCTTCCATCTGAGCAGTCGTCCCACACCTGTGAAAACGTGCGGTTGCGGTTAGATAGGAGACAGCCTGTGGCAGACTATCTAATGCGATAACAGCGATACATGTCCAGATACTATGAATATCGGTGCTTCATCTAATCTGATGGCGTTTCCCGTCGCCCACACTTCCGCCACCGTCGTTCACCTCATCATCGCCATCATCATGTACTACCATCTCTATCTTTATTTTCCAACACAATTTGTCCCTATATGGGCCCTTCTAAGCTCACCGATGCCGTTGCCCTTTCCGAGCTCTTATCTGCGTTTCTATTACACTGGCCTTATGTCAATATTTTCCTATTAACTCGAATAATCGAGAACTCGTCTCATTTTCCACCGCGGAGCCGAATATACGGTATTCCCTATGGGACCTGACGGCATTTAGCTGAAGCCGCTTATCACACCACGACACTCGCAGCGATTCATTAATTGAGTCTCGGCTACGGTATAATTGCAGCACAATTTGTTCTGCCGCGCTTGAATTTGTGTAGATGGGGTGTTGGAGTGGATGGAGCTCGAGCTGAGCAAAATTCTTCCGTATCGGCCCTTTGTGATGACTTCTTGCCTCGGATAGGTCTTCTCCAGCTGATCTCATTGATTGTATACGCTTTCCTATGATCGGATGACAGGCCTAGGGATAAAAACTCCTCATCCATGGGCCCCTTGAGAACAGCCGGACAGACCAGGTCTCCAGGGTCATTTATCGTGTGGCCATATTTTTATCTGCTCCGCTCAAACCTTCTCATGACAAACGGTTGTCGTCGCGCTGTTATCTCTGATAATCGTCGCCACGGGCAGTGTCACAGCCCGTATTGGTGGGTTCCACCGGGTCACGCCCATCCGCGTTTTTGCCGCCCTCGGTCATTGGCCGACTCCGCCTTCCGGGAGCACCGCCCTCGAATCGCGCGACGATGGGCACATGGGCGCGCCCTAAGTCACTTACGTATTGCGTGTAGCTGTCTATCTCGTTAACGCATCTCTGATAATTATCAACGATGATCAGGTGGTGATAGGCGATCGAAACCTTATCAAAACGTCGTCATCGAACAGCTGATTTCATGCTGATACTGCTTTCGCGTGTCTTATCTGACAATTCTGATCTACGAACATCCGCAATCACTTTTCGAACACCACCTGACTCTTTTGATTCGAGCCCTGACTACTTCAATTGATTCCGAGATTGAGGCTTCTCCCAAACGTCTCAGTGAGGCCTTGTAGAGGACCTTCAAGGTCGTCATGTAAGCTTGATGATAGATGAGCTGTGTCATTATTCACCTCAAATTCCGTTCGTCCTCTTGTCTCCCTGGTCGATTCTTGCTCGGGTATCCGTCTCCTCATTTCATGCCCTGAGTTGTAATGTTTTCCCAACAACCATCGCCCCCTCCACATCGTCGACGAGGCCGTCGTCGACGACGTCGAACGCTCTCATGTTTGACATTTTCTGCTTGTTCTGGCATCTCGACTATTCATCTCTGCCGCGTGGTCCATACGCTGTGAAAAATTCCATCTCGGCTTAATCTAACATTGAATTCCAGATGACCACGGTCTTCAAAGACTATGCAGATTCGTTGGCTGCCCCATCTATGTACCATCATACGATGGCGATCGAAGCCGATCAAAATGTTCCCGTATCGGAGATGATTATGACCGACACACAAGACATCAACGTGAACACTGACGATAATGTACGTGTGTGTGTGTGGTGTAGATCTTGCATGGAATTCAATTACCGTACACCATCCTGAAAATGGTTGTTCAGGGTTTCGCATCACCTATAAAGCCGGCACCGTTTTATACTACCCCTACTGATGCTATGTATTATACGAATAACTTCAAGGATTACGGTATGTTTTTTGTACATGGTACTTGTTCTCGAATTTCTTTATTTATTGCATTCATCAACCATAAATTCCTACCTTTTTTCTACTCCCATTTGTTCTTACAGCGATTGCTCTGTACAGTATACCCACCTGAAACTAAAAACCATCCGTTTGTGATTTTTGACCGATTTTCTGCTTTGTTGATATAAAGTAATCAGATGTGGTTGAATAAGTCCCTACTGGTACTTGGCATAGCATACGGTCCTCTGATTTCTGTAAATAAATACTCCTAAACATTCTTATCTATTCTATTCTAGTCCAATTCTCAGGCGTAGAGCGATTAAGCTGGTTTGAGTGGTCGTCTCTAGTTGTGCTACTCCAAGTAAGGTTCTTAGGCCTCTCACTTTCTCTTCAGGGCCTTTTTTAAAGCAATTTCTGCAGATTCATTCAATTCTTCCCAGCCAAGCTCAACTCAGTACATGGGAAGCTTCAGAGACCCCCCTACTCGACCTTGTGAGTCAACAGATTCATTGGAGAGCGTCTCTAAAGTCGTGAATAGAACTCTTACGAAACTCGGTGGAATTCAATAAGTTTCGAAACCCAAAAAATACCGTCACTGCCCTTTGCCTTAACGAAATCCCAGTCTTTTCAGATCACTTTCGGTTCATAGAGTGAGCAAGACTGTTTAAGGGTACCTCTTTTTCTACTCCTACTTCTTTTCCTTTCCTCTTTTTTTCAAAAGCTCAACTAATTTATTTCTTCTACCTAAGATTTTGTTGTGTGGCTCTAGAAAAGGCTTATCGGGACCTACTTGTGGTAACTCAAGGTTCTCCTGACTTCTAATGACCCTATTCTAACCAAAACCTTCTACAGCTCGAGTTCCTCTCAACTCCCACCCTCTTTCTCAACTCAAGAAAGCTATGGGAATCCTAAGCATGTGATACCGATACTGGCTTCTCCATTTTCCTTCGCACCCTATCTTCATAGGCTACTATATTATGTACCATATGGGAATGGCAGCGATTTGTTGCGGTTCATTGACTTTGTCGGCCCCCCGCTGGTGATGATGGTGTTGGTTGGGCAGCCGAGGAGCCCAGGGGTATTTCACATCATGCGCATTGATTACCCTGAGGGGAAATGAATGAAGGGGGCAAACACACTGCTGGAACACAGTCATGAATCAGCCCGACTGGACTGACTTTTGCTCGTTTCGCTAGCCATCTGAAAATGATTTCGTCGTTTTTCAGCCGGGTACATCATTAATCCGTCCATGTATCAGCCATATACGCTGCCGGCAACGACTGCCGCCTGTTCGGGTAATGACGCCGGTTTCAATCAAATGATGGATCCATCAATGCTTGGTTAGTTTAACGGTGATTTTTAAAGATTTGAACTTTTAATGGCCTTCATTAAAAGTTCAAATTGGGCAGTTTTGTTCTGCCCCGAACGTGCTCGATCGATTAGAGAGCGTTATCTTTTCCTCAGATCTATGTGTATTGGTGTAGCTGTGTGCGTGTGTGTGTGAACGCGCTCTTNGCCATATACGCTGCCGGCAACGACTGCCGCCTGTTCGGGTAATGACGCCGGTTTCAATCAAATGATGGATCCATCAATGCTTGGTTAGTTTAATGATGATTTTCAAAGATTTGAACTTTTAATGGTCTTCATTAAAAGTTCAGATTGGGCAGTTTTGTTCTGCCCCGAACGTGCTCGATCGATTAGAGAGCGTTATCTTTTCCTCAGATCTATGTGTATTGGTGTAGCTGTGTGCGTGTGTGTGTGAACGCGCTCTTCCTCGTCGTCACGGCGCTGGAGGAGCTGTAAAATTTACCTCGTCAACTGTTCAGCTGTAATTTAGACTCCTCCCATTTCAGGTCACAACACTACAAATGCTTCATTCTATGGTTCCACATTCAACTATCCCACATATGACTACTCATCACCGTTGATACCACGAGTTCCCGGCTCTGCTGCACCTACGGGCGCCGGTGTTGGTGCCGGTGCCGCCTGTTCCACCAGCACCTCCGGTTCGTCCAGTTCCAACGGCTCTGCACATTCGACGCTCGCCTCACGGAGTAAGGCCAGAACCTCAGCATGTGCGTAATGCGCTGCACGTTTTGGTGCGCTGTGATGTGATGGTGTATGGTTGTATGCGTGAGCCTCATGTTTCTGTATGGTGAAAATGATCGCTGAAACAGTTAAAGCTGGATATCCGATTGAGACAGTCCTTTTTTGTACCTGTGCAAAGGATTGCTCTTTCTGGAGCTCTGTAAGCCTGCCTTCCTGCATATTTCCATTGACAAATTCTTTATTCCTACCCTGTGTGTATGTGATAGTGAGCTCAAGGTAGCCTGCACGAGCATGCACTGTGGACGTGAATGTGATTTGCACGAGCACAAACGTAATTTTCCATACTGAAGGGTGATTTAGTTTCAGCTGAGGGACGAGAATGCGTGAACTGTGGCGTCCAAGCTACCCCACTTTGGCGACGAGATGGCACTGGCCACTACCTCTGTAACGCCTGTGGACTTTATCACAAGATGAACGGTCAGAATAGGCCGTTAGTGAAGCCAAAGAAGAGACAGGTAAGCGAGTTTTCTGACCAGAAAAAACCTTTCGAAGACCACACACAGACAGTCGCGTGCTTCATAGCCCTATCAATCAGTTCCCGTTATCATTTGTCGTTCGTTATCTTATCAGCCGTCAACCTTCGTTCATCACTCTCACCCGCCAGCCGTTTATCAGATACATGTTCATGGCGCAGATTATGACACCCCGTCGCGCTTGTTAGTTTACACCTCGTCAAGTGGGGAAGGGGATACGGTAGTGCGTGAATGGGAGTGCGCCTGCGCCCTCCACACTGCATATACTCCCTTTGCAAAGGAAGAACAGGTTTCGAACACCGTATATGGCCACCACCGGTACGGGGCACTGTTTTGAACGAACAGTATCTGGCCGTTGACAAACAATGAGAAGACAAGATCCTTATACCCGGAGCCTTGTTGGGCTTAGGGGAATCTTTTGTAAGACTCAGGTTCCCATAAGGAATTGCAGGGTAAAGCTGTCCTGTCGGGTTATCTGGAGGTGTGGGGTTTCAGGGAGATTGTTTACATGTCAGCTAGTTGACCTCCAAATAGTTCGTCTGATAGTATCAGTCGTCAATTAAGAAATGCAATCCTCTTCACTCACCCGTATGGGCGATGACGCAACTCCCGAGTCTTCACCCATTCCTCACTCTCGGCGCTGGCTGTGTAACAGGTCACGACCTTATATGTCAGTCTGGGGATTACTGTAAGTGGTTCGAAAACCATCGCCCGTTGCCCAACTAAAAGGCCACCATATTGGCTACAACTAGGGAATGACACGTTGGATTAGACGCGCGTAGGCATTTGTCGCATGCGGACAAGCATTTCGGAGCTGACGATGACCATGTCGCCGCCGCTGTCTGTCCCATGTACCGTCGTTGTCGTATTAGATAGCGATCACACACCCCCACACATGAAACGACGACGACGACCAGGGGCGACCTTTAAAACGAGGAAATTTTCCCGTAAATCAACACCCTACAGTAGTTGATGCAGCGCCGACTGGACCCTACAACCTTGAGCGAGGAATGGCCAAAGGGACGAAGGTTTCAAATCAATCGAGATTCTTTGTTACTAGAAACGTCCTAGTGGACCACTAAGCCAAATCCGGCAACATGTTTGTCCCGAAGGGAAAGAAGAATCTTGTACTCGCAACTGAATGGGTATAATTTACTGAGTAATCGGATCTAATCTGTTCAGAATAGCGTAATTCCAAAACGACCACTGTTTTGGTGTCGTAAACTTGGAGGTCAGGTGCTCAAGTTGATCACAACATGTAACCCTGAATGGAAACTGACATCAGATTCGAAAACAGTCATAAGGTCTTTTGAAAACAGAGTGATGCCTGAGTATGCCATATCAAGGTTCGTCTTGTTGATGGCCATGGACAGTTCAGGCTTCGAAAATCTGAAAAAGATGCTAAAAATGCCCCTTCAATCCAATTCGTAACGAAGACGACAGTGAAAAAGTTCCGAGCTACTCCTTAATTAAATTATGGCCAAATCTGACGGGAATGTGGAACATGTAGAAAGGAAAGATAATATCAAAAATTGTGGCTCACCGATAGACCGGTAGCGGAGGGAGAAGGAAGAGGGAGAGCAGGCGTTGACGAGCTGCTTTGAACCTGCCTGCCATGTCTGATTCTTCACCCTTTTCCCTTCACAAAACCCATTCCTTACTTGAGTGGTCGCTTAACCGTCGAGTTCACAAAGTTTTCGCTACAGTAGCATTGATTTCTTTCCAGTAAACGTTCAAACATAGTTGATCGAGCAAGTTCTTGTACCCTACAGCCATCAGGTACCGTAATCTTGGAATTCGTTTTCAGAGTGCCCAAAAACGGACTGGTGTTGTTTGTGTAAACTGTAACACAAACACAACAACACTATGGAGGCGAAACGGTGGCGGTGAACCGGTCTGCAATGCCTGTGGCCTCTACTATAAACTGCATCAGGTAAGAGGGTTGAAATGAGTTTCTTGAAGGAAACCGATAAAATCGATCCAAACTAAATCGCCTAGTTTCTAAGCGAATGCGATGCCATAAATGGGTAGTTTTGGGTGGTGAATTGTGGATTTTGAATTGAAATTTAGTGCAAACAGGGACTTTCTTATAGTTTCTGGTCCAGAAATGGTAGCTACAGTAGTTATGAATCAATATTTTCCGAATTTCGGTGTGTCATGCTTTTTTCACAAGTCCTCTCCTAGAGAGAGATTCTATTACGATTCTACGTGGCAGATAGAAGCATGGCGCAATCTGATAATGTATCAAGTAGGATGTATAGCTCTTTCCCTAACCCCTAGATCCTTACAATCGATCCCCAGAACTCCTCACTGTACAGGTAGCGGGAGCAACCAATAAGCACCTGTCCACTACCGTAACCTGGGTCCGCTGTAGTCCATGGCCGCCTATCCATGTCCGGGGTCAAGTAGATTCATAAGGAATGGTGGTTTTGATTTGTGACGCCATTTACCACCTCGGTTACGTACAGCAAACGGTATGCCGCCATTTAGGAGTTATGCTATGAGATCGATTCAGGTGATAAGAGCCAGCCTTTACGTAAAGAACGAATCTGCCGCCATCGCCTAAACGGCCAATGCCGCTGCGCGTCAAACACCTGTGTGACAAGACGATTTTCATCTTTTTTTTCTGAGCCGACGACAAGTTGTCCCAGTGGAGAGTATGAGAGTTTTGCAGGTAGAGAGACCATTGACCATGAAGAAAGATGGTATACAGACACGAAATCGGAAAATGTCCACCAAAGGCAAGAAACCCAAGGTTTGTTCCGTCGATAGCTCTTACAATTAATTCATGTTTGTTAAATCAACCAGTAAAAGATAAGTATTGAGAAGAACTCAAGGAGCGTTGTAGCTAAATGGTCCATCTAACTACTTCGTAAGTCAAGTGGTAACGTTCCAGACCCTATAGGAATAATACTTTCCGTAGTTGGGAATCCTGAGCCAGCCCGTTCGAAATAAGGTTCCTTGTAGGACTTGGCCAGATTACCTGGTCAAGATGTGGCTTGGGCAGATAGGTGAGCAAATTTATGGCAACCCGAAAACGCCCGCCACCCAAATATGCCTACCTGGGCAGGTAACTACACCTCTTGAGTGGGTAAGAAACCCTTTCACGAGGTCCCTGAACTGATCTGGCAAATTGAGTAGGTAAGAGGTTCATGAGAATTCCAAAATTTCTCATTTCCGGTCTGGAGTAAGCAAATAGGTAGGGCTCCATATAGCCTAACTAAAAAGGGCCTGACTGCGCTGGATCAAGTAAAGGAACCGGATGTTCCAGGCAAAAAATAGGTCATCACATCCTTCGAAAATCCCCCACATCACCCTCGTTCACTACCCTCCCGATAGAGTCCGATTCGAAGAGCAAGAGCAAATGAATTGAAAATTGCTTTGGGCCTCATCTGGAAAGGCATATCCCCGATAATATATCAGTTGAAGAATCTTGTTTGGCACTCCCTGAAATTTTTGTGAATTCAGACGGAAGATCCAAATTCGTGGGGCAGTATGAAGACGGCGCCAATGTACGACATGAAACTGATGCCAACGCCATACTTTCCCGGTCAGCCAGCTTACTCAACGGGACTGTTTTTCCAGCAATAGTTCAATACTAGGCTGATAACGTCTTGCACCACCTACACGTACCACTCACTGTAAGTAGGTTTTGCTACCGTATTCTTCACTTTTCTGCCTAAATTCCACCGCGTGCCTATCATGTTCTTGCCTGGATTCCTACCGTTTCTGACACGATACTCTTTCTCCGTTCTATAGAGTTGTGATTACCCATGTGTGTGTATGTGGTCGTACGACGTTGAGATTCGATCGAATAGCTCATTCTCATATCCCTGAACTCAATCCAATCGATAATCGATCAAATATCAGCGTTGTAGTCAGCATCATATCTTCACTGAGGTCAACCAGGATCATTCAAGAATTTCTCCTGGACGTCTCTTGTTTGATTGGCTGCCACAGTGCTGTTCTCCTTGTACAGTATGACTTCTATTTATTGATTGATATCGATTGTGTGTAATAATCATATTTTTCCTCATCTTCCTACTACACATCTATATATCAATTTTTTGGGTATTTGAGAAAACATTTCGTGTCAAATTAATGTTAAAGAAAGGCACGATACGGTGCAATAGAGTATCATCTAGTTATCACACTTTTCCCACGCCCATAGTTTGCCAAACTTTGCCCACCCACTTAAGATAATCTTTCAACATCCCTCCAAAGTTATCATTTTCCAATGATTGTGATCGTTTTTCTTCCAAACTTCGAACTTACTCGAATCAATGAGCACCGAAAGAACTTGATGATGTCGTGATCTAATTTTACGTGAGATTGTTTATACTTAATAAATTAATTTATAAATAAACTTGTAATTCCTTTCAGAAGCAAATGACTAGGGAATAGAGTGTATGGATAAAAAATGGATAGTTTACAACGTGGTATCCAGGTGGGATAAATCTTTCCAGGCCCAGGGTGGGGCATGCATTCCAAGCTCCTTTCAATGGAGACGGAGATTATTGGTTGTAAGGGGTGTAAATCGGAATTCTTGCCTATCAAATTGAAAGATTCTCATTACCTGTACTTCCGAACCCTTTACGTACGTCTTGTTCTCTTTATAATCTCGATTTAAATAAAAATTGTGCAGGTATTGGCACAAGTCTGTCGAGTGGTCCATGGGTTACCAGGCAAGGGTCCTACCCCTTTGGAGTCGCAATCATTCTAGCAGAAGTCCCCAAATGTTTCAGGGAGCCAAAAGGGCAATACGGAAGGGTTTGAGCCATAAAATAACAAGTTGATTGAGGTCGTTGGAATCTGATAGCTCTTGTAATTAGTGCAATGGGCTCGGACCTTCATCTGATGAACCTAGTCCAAGTAGCACAGTTCACTGCTCAAGAGACTTCAAGCATGGCCTGCTTTTTCAGACCTCAATACGAAATGAAGCCATTGAGTACCATTTCCAGTGCGTAGCTTCCATAGCGATACGATATTTCTTCTCTGTCTCAGTCCCACAGAGGCAAGAGGAAATCACTGAAAAACTGTTCATGGTCCCGGAAAGTTCATGCGCTATTGACGAGTTTTTCTGTGCTCATTCGACGGAAGGAAAAACTCGCGAAGCATTATCGCAGAAATGTTTGGGCCGGTGTGTGCACGGAAAAAAAGCGCCACGAGAAACGACGCGTCTCGATCGAATGAAGACGATTGTGCGTGTGTGCCTTGGCCGACCGGCTGACAACAGCGCTTTAATGCTAACCGGGGAGAAGCGAATCAATCACACTGTGAAATTCATAGCATCAATTCACGAAGGTACACGAATTTATAGACATAGTCTGGAAAACTCGGTTTATAGTCGCTCAATTAATTAAGTTCTTGAATGGTGTCAACAAATTGATCGATTTTTTGCAAAATGTTGATCGAAATCATTCGAACAGCTAAGCTTCAGTGACCGTAGCTGGATTGTATCTTACCCTGTTCAAAAAAGCGAATCATCGATATTATTTCTAGCACAGACGAGTCTTGGACCACCAACGATGTTTCGCGGGATCATTACTTTACTATACTATGCCTATCAATGTGCAAGGAATGGATTATGACTTTAGAAGCCGCACTCTGGGATCCGGAAATAGACCGAAATAGCCATCATATATCAGCTAGTACTTACGAGAGTATAAAAAAGCAGTTCTTCAAAGAAATTGAAGCGCAGAGAATTCCATGATCAACTCTATCCTGAAGATTCGCTTTGCATTCGACTTTTTCTCGGAAACATTGTACCTTATATGGTCCATTTCTTGAACACGCTGAACTGGTTCTTCACGGAGTAATTAACTACGAAAAGGTAGACTTGGATACCCCAGGTCCTCATGTGGGATATGATCGAAGTGATACCTTTTCAGCATGAGGGCGGTCTGAATACCGATTCCCATTTCAATACGTCTTTCGAGCGCAAAAAGTGAATACATAATCAAATAAAGAAACAAATCCCTACACAATTTGAACAAGACGAGGATATACATAAAAAGGGATAAGCAGGTGCTTCTGCCCGCTTCCAGGTAACTTTTTGTTTGAGTACAACCTCATTGTTATTTTCACCATCTGTGAGTGTCATGGCTCTCTCTTTTCCCTAAGGAGCTGGGAGAATCAAATCTTCAACCCAGAACCAAGATACTAGGCATGTTGCTTTGGTTCGATTCATAAATCTACTTGGTTCGTCTGACTCGATCCATATCAGTTTTTCCTTCTTTGCTATGTTTTCGTGGAATCTCATTGCCGATAACCTCTCATCCGAAGTTCATTGCCAAGTCAGTTCTGAAAAAACAACTCAACCTCATCAATCATAGTAATTGACGAATGCCCCCGAGTTGAATGTTCATAAATCGTTCATGGATGAAGTTTGGCTCGGCTCCTGCCATCATTTGCCGCCACAGCCGTAGCTAACAGTTGTCTCCAACATATCTTCGACCCATCTACCTCGTAATTATTTTCGAATAAAAAAAACTCGAACGATCATCGCCTGATAAATCTAGGCGTATGATTTATGCTGTTGACAATTGTCACGACAACCCACCGTATCGCTCCATCGTAAAAGTCCATCCCAGAACTTTCTCACGATTGTTGTAGTAGTTAGCCTTTTAAGGTAAGAGGAAGGTTCATAAATCCATCGGTTCAGCATGTTATAAAGCCTCTTCCTCTTTTTCTAAGCAGACTATACTACAGTTCATGAACTATAGCGTAATTATAAAGATTTGGGAACTTCAGGGTGATTAGTAAGATTGATTTCTCGACTCCTTCAGTTGGAACAGTGTTGATCAGTATTAAGTGGTACGGCCCACTACAGATCTGTTCCGGGATCGTATGACGTATCGAATCTTTCTCAATCCAATTTTTTCGACCTCGAGTCTTCGTGACACTCGGGTTTGGGAAAAAAGCCGGTTCCGTGCAGCAGAATGTTGCTTCACTTTCTTTAACAATCGGTTAAAATGTCTCCGAAATTTAAAATGAAAGTTGAATGCATCGTATCTTCTCAAAGCGGTTGATCCAGGATGAGGTGGCCCAAATTTTTTTGCATCTTGAAGGTCCATAGTCCCCACATAATGATTTTCGGGTTTTAGTGGAAAATATCAATTTTTTTTCGTTCCGTCACTAAAAGGCAGCTGCTCTAACTCAATTTTCACTTTTTCTTAGCACTTGGCATAATTTTTCTATTAGCCCAAGTTATAAGCCAAGAGAGGGACGGTGTGGGAGAATCGGCAAGGAACGTTGGGAGGAAAACGGACTTTCACGTCAAGTGATGGCATCCGTTTAAGGGTCGGATTTTGGATTGGAATCGAACGCAAGGCGTAAACTAATTGGAAAGATATACAGCGACTCTTATGCACTCGAGAGTTCACTGCAATAAGTACATCGTCCCTTGAGTCTCCTACATTCTGAAAGGACAGGAAATTGCCATGCGAATTGCCATGCTGAACGCTCTCCCAATACTCGGGCAAGTCCGACGGATAAAACACGTGGTCCAGTTAGGATGCTTAAAGCTATAATTCCTAATCAGTCATATCAGCTGTTCAAACAGTCCCTTTTTGGTTTTCAATTCCCTCAAACAACCAATAGGTAGGATGCCTTAGTCAAAAGATCTCCACAAAGCCAATTCTTCTAGTTGAGCTCCATTCTCGAGGTCCGATTTACGATTTTCGCCTTCTACGACCTCTCGGTACCAAGCCCAGCCTAGTTCTACTTCAAAACGTCAGCGATCTAATTGTCGGCAGATGGTCATCTTGTCGCCAAAGGCATCTTCCATGCAGACTTTCTCATATCAACACACCGTAATCCTATGAAATCGTTACGTAATTAACTCGACAAGGTAATTTAATACAATTTTCGCGTCAGTGTCCTTAATGAGCCGCGCCAACGGCAAGACGCGCCGTCCTTTCGGTCGGAACCGTTCCGCGACAGAATTTAGTCATGATTTTGTTTGAGATAATCTTTGCGACGAGGGTTTTTCGAGAATATCTGGTTCGTCAAAGAAAACTTCTTTAGAGAGCGTTTTTCGTTGGTTTTCCATGGCTCTGCTTTTTCATAATTGCCGCTAGACCTCTTCCCGTTCCCAAATGGATTTCATTGGACCAGATTTACAAGAGAAAAGGAGATGACCGTATACGAAGTGGATACCCAACTGGGTAGAAAACCTCCTAGACTACCTATAAACTATCCAGTGAGGGTCTTGAATTTCCGAATTCTGCCTTTCTTAGTGTGGTAGACCTGCCTGAGACTATCAAACACATTCCGTTGCCGATTGGACTCATACCAACATCTTCCACCGGTATCTATTCACCCTTCACTGACCGTCACGTAACCAGGAACTCTGATGCATTGACCGGCTAATGTGGCTCCTACGGGTAGGCAATCAATCAGTTTCTTTCACTGGCACTTCTGTAACCTGGGTAGACTTGGAACCCCAACCAAGCCTTCAGAGTCCTTTCATGACGTATTCACTGTATGATACGGTATATTATGACTACGGTACATACTCATAAACATAAACGAAGTAATTTTAGCCATACTGGTCCTCATAGCACATTGCAAAATTTAATCAAAGAAAATATACAGTAATCCCACAGTAGTCTCTCTGGACTGCAAACAGGTCAAATGTGACAGTGGGTCTCGTTACTACCTCAGATATGTGCCTAGAATATTCAGCAGAAAGACGGATCGGATTCTCTAACCGTCTTGGCCCCAACTACTGAAGTTCTCCAGCACCTCAAAAGTCTTTGGAGCAGTGTCCCACTGAGATGAAACTTACATGGATAATCTTTAGAGATCCCAACCATACCCGTCGGTAGCGTTTCTCTTGATCAGCTTCAATTGGGAGAACGGATTTACTCTCCTGTCTGAGAGTGTGATCCTTGAGGATCGCTGAGGGTAAGCTGGTGACCACCACCTTCTCCAACATCCTAGGCATTTCTGCCTACAGTTTTTCGACTTTCATCGCTCGCTCGTTCAGTGATGGAGTATTTCTTGTCGGTCTGATGTCATTCTGCGTCTCTGTGCTATTCGTCTCGTTCCTTATCGTTCATCAAAGATTGCAATCTCACCGTCGTCGTCGTCGTCGTCGCTTCCCCGTGGAGTCGACAACGACGAGGAACTCTCTAGAGCGCCTCCGTGTATGTGTTTGCGTATGTTCAGGTGCAAAACATAGTCATATAAGGGAGCCAGTGGAACCATCAGAAGCTATATGTTCATCATACAGGGGAGCCATTGAGATCATCGAGACCAATAGACCCACTAGTTGATCGTTTCGAAATCTGCTACAGGAATGACAAAGTCTCGGTAACCTTTGTTAGGTCTCGACCCCGTTTTTAACTTTTAGACATGGTACTTATCCACCAAACCGAAAAAAATCTTGCTGGCCCCTTTCCAGCTAATTTTCCAAGATTGTGTGGCTTCTGAAAGATCGATCCCTTATTAGAACTAGTGCCCCAAGTTTGTCTTGCGATCCTATTCCGAGAGTTTCTGAAAACTCATAGCTACGCATTTATGAGTAAATCGCAGTAACTTACTCACGTATTCGAAGAAAAGGAAGAATTCATCCTGTGACGAGGTCATATCCATGATAGCCCCTTCGAACGTGGGTTCAACTGTTCATGGCAAAATAGAAATGTGCAACAGCGGTTAGTGGTACCGACTTCAAGCAAGATAACATCCCTCTTTAAATTTGAGTACACTTACGTTACACTTGCTATCAGCACGGAAAACCAATGAGCTGATTTGTTATAGGAAGCCAGAATCCAATGTGCCGAAATCTCAAGTCACATTGGTTCTAACTCAGATCTGCAACCTGAGGCAACCCTGAGTTCAAATGCCTACGCATGACACTATCCAACTATGTCCTACTGTAGCAGAAAACGCATCACCAACTGTCAGTTCTGTTGTTTCATCAAGTTTCTTTCGCGATGAAAAAACCCAAGTGTTTCCCTGGGAACCGAAAGAAGTTGTCGTCAATGCCTGCTGTTCGGAGACGAAGCAATCGGTATAGGTTCCCCCTCGCTGCGTAGAAGCGCTGTCATGGAATCGACAACAAGTTGAAAAAAGTCAAGGAGCCAGGGCTAAGAACTGGGAGTGACGAGAAATGGCTTCATCATTACCACAACCTCCTTCAAAACTGACCCTCATACATATACCCCACCCAAAAAACCTTCAACAAGAAATAGAGATGGAGTAAATTCATCTGTTGGCTCATACATCAAAATTTCACAAGATTCTCTTCTCAGCCGTCCAATACTACCCACTACCCCTCTCTCAAATACAACCCCATCCGCTCGATAAAAGCATCCGCGATATCTACTAAAGTGGATTGGCTTGAGCTTCATCCTAAATTGATCCGTTGAGCTCAGCGTTCATACTTCGCGACTGGCGATGACCCCCACGCCACACCCTTGCGAAATAATCGATTTTATTATTTGAATGCTAAAACGGACCACAGTGGACTGTTCACATGAAGAGCAAAAAATTCAATAAATCAAAAAATACTTCTTGTAAATCCCTGAAAATAACAACATGAAAGACGATCAAACTATTCACATGAGCGTTCAAAAAGATGTGGAATGGTTATATTCAGATCATAATAACATTCTACTACTAAAATCACAAGAGAACATAAAGGTACATATGATACAAGCAAGCTCCACCATATCTGACTGAAGTGAGAGTAAAATATAATAAAAAGAATTCTGGCATATTACAAGATAACTGCAACTACACTGAGACCTTCAATAAACACGGCAGCGACTAGACACCGAGAACAATAAGCACATATTTTTAAAGGGACAGTTTTCGTCATTATTCCATTGCAATTACAGGAATACCGTATGAAACAACCGATGCCCCAGTAAGGTATGGTAATTTGCAACGTGACTTAGCTCGATGCATAGCTTCAACAAGAACCCGAAGTCGGCTGTCAGTTCCATCGGTACCGGTCAACGTGCGGTTCGCATCAGATGAAAAGCATAGATCCACCTGCAACGAACCAGATTGACATAGATTACAACAACAATTTTAAATAATGGAACTTACAAGTGCCATAAAATATCGATCAATTTCGCCATCCGTCACCGTCCATAAGCATCCAACAATTGACGGGCATTGTGCGACGGTATAGTCGTAGACAGAGCTTTTACCATCCATACCCCACCCGTACGGCGTCATACGAACACTAAAAAGGCAGTGGTGGGAACATTCAAAGTTCATAAAGTTTAACTGAAGTTTTCGATGCTGGGCACTCAAGTTTTCGATGCTGGGCACTCAAAGGCAGTGGTGGGAACATTCAAAGTTCATAAAGTTTAACTGAAGTTTTCGATGCTGGGCACTCAACCAGGGTTGCGCTACGTAATCAACTCCTAGCCATTGCTTGCCGCGAGGCATGTAAGCATAAACTTCGCTTTTGGAATGAAGCAAGAAGGCTCCCTGACATTAGCAAAAGTTATTTAACAGCTAGGTGGTCCTGTCTCCCAACTAAACGCGACCGGGAGGATAGAGTGAAGCACATCTGATTGAATTCATTTCCAAAAGGAGGACTGAACAGGTATCTCATCGCTGAGGAGGCGTTTGCAATCTTTGGGTGAGTTTCAGAACTCAGCTCCACCCAGAACATTAAAAATCACAATTATCATGATCTGTAACCAACCTTCCACAGCCCATCAGAACACTTACAGCATTGACCGTATTTTCGCAGATCACACGGCGACTGAAGTACCTCGAACCACTACCATGACCCATGTAGCTACAAGATAAAAATCAAAATGAAGTCTTCGCCTTGCGATTGAAAATCATGTGTCATTAGAATAATAAACAAAATAGTGACAAGAAATGTAAACGAAAAGAATGAAATGCTATCGAAAATGGATAAATTTGAACTGCGTACTCACAAAAACACATCCCTCTGCGATAGCGCATCGGTGACTTCCTTTGGAGTTGGGACTTTACCTACAACTCCTTCCCAGCCAAACTTGGACACATAATCCGTTATACGACGTCTCGTGTCACCAAGATTGTTGTCAGGGTCAAGCACGTAGAAAGCGTTATGAACGTTCACTTCAAACGGTACCTTGAACAGATAGATAATAAAGTTTTACGATCAATACATGAACCCAAACTTGGATGCTATTTGATTAAATAAAGTACTGAACACACCTGAGTGCTTTTACGAAGGGTTTGCAGTAAAGCGTGCACTGACGGAACGCGAGCCACATAGGGACTGTCACAGAATACCGGGATCACTTCCCATGGGAAAGTCGTTAAGTCCTTAAAATATCAGTTATAAAAACTTTACAGAAAAACCGTCGAGAAGTCATTAGCCTTAAGAAAGCTAGTAAACAGTAAACTCACCGGACAAATTATTAAAAATGTATAAAGTGGTGCGATGTCCGACAAAAAGCCACCTTTAGCTACAGCCGCTCTCGTTCTGAAGTTTCTTGGTGACACTCAAAAAATATCGAATTACAGGGCGCAAAACTCACTTAAGATAAAGCTCCTGTACCGCTTCCTTTTGAGACGACACACCAGCAACATCACACAATCTTTCTGCTACACGTATCCACTCGGTTTTCTCCAATTTTGAGGACAGGGAGACCAGTTCCTGGAAACACGTGTGCTGTAAGAGGCTAGAAGATCAAGTACACACATCACCCGAAAGAATGACATCGTGGATTTTGCACTCGCACTTCTCAAATCTTGTGAAAAAACGGCTCCGTAAAACACCGTCGAGTCTATTCTTACCAATCAAAAGTAACGGTCTTGACTTTGTGGAATACAAAAAATATTAAATCTTGACGAATCCTCCCACCTTGGCAAATGACAAAGGTAGCTGCGCACCAGATGGCGATTGAGAAGCCGAAACGAGAGCCTTGGCAAGGGTTAGCCCGCTACGATTGAGGCTGATCGAAGGAAGTAATAGAGGAGCGGCTGCACCAAGAAGAATATTCTGTACTCGAGGAATGGTTTCCTGAAGACACAACGGTGGAGAGCTGTAGGAAGGAATTATCATCACAAAGTAACGGGACACTCATCCTTACCTTCAGATCAGCATCAACAGCGCGCCTCGCCGCCCAAAATGTTTTGGCATCCTGCGTTACCTTCCCCAAACAGCACGTTCTCGAGTTTTCCTCGATCAATTTTTCCATCAGTGCTTTTACTGTTTCCACCTAAATAACCCTGTTAAACATCTACACACTGTTCCGCTCTCCTTGTTCACACCTTAGATTTTGGAGCGAGTGGCATGATTATTGGTTCACGATCTCGGTGCAGCTTGATTAAATGCAGAGAACCATCATGAGATAACGCCAAATGCACCAATGTGAAATCTGAAGGAACTGACTCTTCCAAGGACAATCAAGAAACGGGGTAGAGAAGGACAGTAGGTCCAAATCGTTCACCTGCGGGTAACTGTTCAACCATTTTCTTGAACAAACTTGGCTGTGAAAAAACAAATCCATTCATCTTCCCAGACATAAAACGTGAAAGCTGCCGTGTAGCCAACATTGTCGACTCTGACCACATCATAGCCGCCTGCCACGGACCTTCGAAAGTTTCCTTTATGCTCAATTTTATGCAATAAGAAAGCAATCAAACTCACAGCTAACGTACTCTCCCAAAAACGTACACACCGGAAATCTCCAGTCCCTAAATGGAAAGGTGATGGACGAGGTATGAAGAATAATCTTACAGAATAAGAACCAAGCAGCACCTGTACAGCAGATTGCTGAAGGATGCGTATTCAGAAAGAGCTTCTTTCATCATGTTCTTTTCCACAATCTTCTGCGCAACCTGGAAGCAACGAGCAAAGCTGAATGAGTAGATTGAAATATATGTACAAGTCGCCGAAAGATCTTGGATGAACCAAGGCACAAGAATTCTGAAGGAAAAAATCGAAAGAATCGCTAATGTTCTCACGACTTCAGGCGAATCCTCATCGTCACTTGCGTTTCCACAGAGCCGTGAAGGAAAAAGATATTGCGTCACAGCATCCTGGAAGCAAAACGACCCAGTCATTTACAAATTTCAAAACCTAACCTATCTGATTGTGAGAAGAGAAACACTCACCATAAATTTGCCCGCTCGACTAGTATCCTTCATCCATTCGTAGCGATAACACCGTGTAAGCTTCCGGATGCGCTCTAATTGTGAAATTGACAAGCGATAACAAACGGTTCGTACGGACGAGTAGCCACAAATCTTAAACGTGACAAATACCAAGTCTTATCATCAACAGCGGCCAAAACCATGCACATAATTCAGAGAGCAACAGAAACTGACCTTCAAAGCAGATTTCACTATAGAATCTCTCAAAGACTTCAATTTCAAATTTTCGCTGTCCCAAGGAGAATCTTCCAAACGACGAAGCCATCGCACTACACACAACGCAAATGTTTCGCACATTATCGAGGGAGGTCGCTGAAGGTGTGATAATTGAAACTGAAGCATATACGAATACCACATAAGTATAGTGACGCATGAACCAATGAAAGAGCATAAAAAGATATCGACGGTCAAATGCCAGGAACAAAAACTTGGGCGAAGTACCTCATACCGCACCGCACTGACTACCAAAAGATGTTATTCTACTGAGGATCTACAATTGCCCGCTGTTTTTCACTGCCTTTTCCAAAATAGACTTTACCAGTAAATAAGAACACCTTTTATAATACCTCTAACTCAATCACAAGTGCCTCTCGGAAATATAAAGAAATCACTAATCACATCCATAACATGCAATAAATATGCAGTGGCAAAAAAATGAGGCTCACCGGTTTCACTTTCTTCCCTAAAACTGCACACTGCTCTGGAGCGACACGAGCACGCAATGCGTGAAACTGTTCCTCAAGACACTGAATCGCTGACTAAACGAGGAAAATAATTGAAGAATTTACTTTGAGCAAACAGTAATGAAATAAGTGACACTGGTTAGCAAATGTAGATACATGAATATAGATGAAAAACAGGGATGTATTTTACTCACTTCTGACATGGATTCGTATAGAAACGAGGAAAACCAGTATTCAAAGGATGCGTTGTAGTTCGTTCTACAGAACCAACAGAAATTACAGCTGCATTTGTCAGAAAGCTCGTGCAATGAACTTACTGTTCTGAAATTGAAAAGAGAAGATGAAACTCTTAAGCCTGGTAGACACACTGACTACAAAAACAAGAAAGGCTCACTCAGACAGTGTTAGCTCATGAAAAGAGTCAATCACTTTGGAGGCAATTCTACTCGGAGATCGACCTCTCTGTGGTGTCTTGCCAGATCTGAATATTGCATGTAATTGAAAGCAGTGGTTGCTGCATCAACACGCCACCTAGAACCCGGATGATCTAAGGGAATACAGCATCATTTTGCAACCCTTCAACGGAACTCGGAGTACGAGCTCAGTGAAATGGATCCGCGATCCGATCTACAGAGGATCGGGACACTTCGAGTCTGGTTGTGGGTGGTCCTTCATGATTCTAACCGCTTTCCCTTGCATTCTTTACACTCTTCCTTGTTATAGCATCCAAGCCACCTTATATGTAGCTCTCAATTCTTGCGAAGTAGCGCATTATCTTGACCCTATCGTACGCACCACTTATTAATACATGTGCTGTCTTGATCAGTCGAAAAAATAGCAAGTTTCATAGACGCTTCACAGAAGACTCACTCCAATCGAAGCTCTTCGAACGATTCGATAAGCGTGGTAGCGAGCGATTTCTGCCCAACACGAGCTGGAGATCGAATTGGAGTTGAAATAGGAGGTCTAAACAGTGGGAAACAGCATTATATAGATATTCAGAAAATTATCCGTAAACTAACAAAGGTATCTCAGTCGTCAATTCATCAGAAAAGGACACTTCGGATGGCCTCTTTTTCGAGTATCCAAACGACACGTCTGTCACCGATGATCCATTCTAAAGTAATTCGATCATCTCGAGCAACGATCAGGCTACACTTCCTCCTGCGAAATTTTTAAAAATAACAAGTAGAACAAGCTGACCGAATACATCATTCGCAACATATCCAAGCAATTATGAAGATCATTTTTGAAATCAGGATGAACAACACATGAGCGTAGCAAAGTGTTGGTATTGACAAACTGTTGAATTCTGGAAAAGTTGCCTTTCATTAAAAACGGTATTGTATCTTCCATCTTTAAACTCTTGTGGAAAAACATACCTGAATAGTACTCCACTTTTCAAAGCGCAATACAAACCGAGCTGTGAGTTGGCCGCAGCATCTCGGATCGTACCGACATGCAACAATTCAATAACATAATCCCTTCTCAATTCGCAACATTCGGCAAACGATGAACAGGCTTTCACTGAATAATTCATTCTGTAAGAGTTCGAACTGACAGACTAATTAGTAATGGTAGCAAACATTTTTACATTTGCTGGTATCTACGAGTATGCAATGGAAATCTTCACAAAATGGGAATAAACTCAGCAAAAATATTGATTTAATGCGCAATTAATGAACAATGTTTTGGATACAGTATAGGGAACGAGCGAAAATTGCTGATAAAAGATCATAACAGAAGGGGGATCAGTTCAACTGAAATTGTATTAATAACAGAAGTGGTAATGGCAAATGACACAGCTATCACATGCGCAAAATCGAAGGAAAACGCATTATGAACATCAACGAGCTCCCTAATAAATGCGAACGCACCGCTGAAAAAAATCGAAATCTTTTCATTTCCAACTCACCAAAATCGGTCGTGTCAGAAGTAACGCATTTAAAATCCATGGGCAAATGTTCCTTTTGGATTCCCGGCAATCTATTTTTCATCACGCTCTCAGATTTGGATACGGCCCGGTGAAGGCAATTGTATGAGTCGAGAAGCTGAGAATATAACTTCAAACGTGACTGATAGTTTAGTACTAGTTGATGGCTTACCGGATCTTCGGTACTGAATTTTGCCACTTTCGGAAGCTGAGCACATATCCAGTTAGCGAATGCCTGGGACTCGAATATGTAATACGTCATGTGAGTGTCACTATTCACTAGATTAGTCATCTCCAAAATAGATTTCGCTGATGTAGGCTGAAAACCGTTTCATTCTGAACGAGATTGGAAAATCGCTCCAAACGAACGATGGAACGAGAAGATGGGAAGGTAGTTCAGCTCGAAAGAAAGAAAAATTCCTGTACAAAACTTACTCTCGATTTGTGATCTCTGTTGAATTCAACGTAACTTTTCGCAATTTCTATTATGAATCTTAGTTGAGCCATGACGAAGTCATCTTCACCATGACTTTTTGGTGGTTTCAATTTCTCAAACGCCAGTGCCATTTCAAGCATCTCCCATTCACCTAAAATTGTAGAGGATGTGCACTATGACTGGTTTTCTTCCATAAAAATTACTTTAACAATTCTTTAATAAAAAATAAGGGAGAACATCTGCTGAATGTGTGATTCCTTCATGAGTGAACGCTAAATTAGAGATAGATTGGAGAAAAGGAACTGAGCGAGTATGCCTGATTGTTTCAGTGTTCCCGCAAGTCCTCAGTCAAGGTGGGGTTCTGATTCCGTTATACTTTACGGATACGGAAAAGAAGACTTGTATCGATCAACGTATAACGAGAATAGTAAAAGGAGTTACCAAATAAGAACTTGATGAATACAAACCACCTACCAAGATATACAGACCATCGAAGAGCCAGAATTCGAGGCACGAGATTTTTCGGTTCAAGATAGATAGTGTGCCGCAAACATAGAAGGGCTTTGTAGTACTAAAAAAAGCAAGCCCCTCTCGCACGAACGCATCGAAGGAATTAAAAGATAAAAGTTGAGAAAAAAATTGCTGGTCATCGCTCGAATGAACAATTGATAATCTAGCTGAAATAGTATGATCACACTTACATCGCCGTTAAGGAAGAAGCACGCAGCAAGCCTGAGTGGGAGCTCAGCATACGCGGATTTCTTTGTGGCGTCTCTGACCACGGGTTCCAGCTTATCCTTCCAGATAGTGTAACACTTCTAAATGAATGAAATGCTTCGAGAGAACCACTCTAAAAAAGTCATCGCGTTTTTTAGAAAATTTGAAGCACGCTGAGAGAAGGCGAACCTAGAACCAGTTAAAATATCTGTCCCCCATATGGAAAATAGAAAGTCAGGTTTATGAAGAGAAGAAAAATGTGAAAGAAACCACCCACGATGACATTCTCGTATAAATTGCCTTTGCTGGCTGAGCTCGAAGTGAACTTTGACAATACTGTCAAGTATTTTGGAGTAGCAGTGGGCTCGCAGACATCTTCAGGCTTGAAATCATTCTTCAACGCATTGAATACCTTGAGTAGGGGACAGTTAGAGTAGCAATAAGATAGTTTAAAATACTAACGATACCTCTTCTTGAACGGCTACCAAACCATCAATGTAGAGATTCAAATATTGGAGACAATTATTGTAAACAACTCGTTTATCAATGGAAGACTTCATAAAATCTGTAAAAGACAAGTTAATATTTCATACTAGAACACACCAAAGAGTCAAATGACAGCGAAATATTTGCGATTAATTGTATCTTTTAAGAAAATAAGGGATATTAAACAAAAAGATGAGTTATTACTAGGGTAGTTGAAAGCAGCAGAGCCAACACGAATAGGGCACCATGCTAATTATGCCACTACAGAATTATTTCTAAAATTCTCCGGGGAATTACATACCACCACACCACCGGAAGGAATAACTTCAAACAAGATTTTTTTTTNTTTTTTTTTGAAATAAAGCGCTTGCCGCCAACACAAAAGATTCGTACCAGCGACAACTCGTACAAATTGTCCGCGCGCTGTAACCCATCGAAACGGACTTTTTTGCCACTTGAGGAATTCTAAAAGAACATAGAGGATCGATTACTATCTAAACTATACCAGTTTCAGCTGTATCGAATGTACACGCTGTTTTACATACCCATCAACCTGTCTTTGGCCTCTGTATTTAAGGATACTAATGCTCACGTCCGAATATTTTCCATTCCTACACTATCTTCTGGATTCCTGACCTATGGATGTTTATTTGATCATTGTCCTGCAAGACCTCTACGGATGGACAAAAGGTATAACTACGTTTCTCCGTTCCAGTGAAACTCGATCAAGCTCGAAGAATACGGTAATGTCAACAGTCTGTAAACTCAGACCGATGACGCAATTTTTCCGCTGTTCAATTTTTCTTAGGAATTCTCTGCGTGCATCCTTTTCGTCGTCGGATATTCACTCTTAGTGGAGTTCATAGTTGTTTTCGTGTCAACTCAAAAGCATAGCAAGAGTTATGGTAAGGTTTTCTGGAGTACGGTCTTGTTTTTTTTTCCTTGTGTTCCTTTAAGGGTTCGTTTAGAGTAGTGGATTGATACTAGCCGGCGTTGGACTAGCCACAATTGGCTTTGGTGCGCGCTATTTGATGAGGAATCAAGCAATAATCAAGAAAGGTCTTGAGGCTCTTCCTGGAGGTGTGGTGAGTATTGTTTGGACCGCGTTGTAATTCTTTTTTTCTAATATCCTTGCAATTTCTAAAGCTGTTTTTTTGGGACTTCGTCATAGTTCACTCCAACAGAGTGTTTAAATACTGGCATATCCTTTTTCATGCCAAATACTTATTAGTTCCGGGCTAGGTTTCTCATCTTATTTTGTGATTTAAGCTTCCGAAAGTAATGCCTGGAATTGATTTAGCAGTGCTTTGTTATGGCTAGTTAAAAAGAATGCCTAGGTCTCATCGAAAGCTCGGCGTAATCATTCAAAGAGGGTTTTCTTCTTTATGGTTCCCACAAAAACTTAGCCGAACTTGATTGCGTTATCCTCCCAGGTTAAATTTCATGTTTTTCAGTTCGATAAATATCATCGAGGTGGCTTTGAACCAAAGATGACGAGACGAGAAGCAGCCATGATTCTTGGGTTACCTGTTACAGCCAAACCAAATCGAATCAAGGAAGCTCACAAACGGATCATGATTGTAAACCACCCTGACCGAGGTATGCTTCTAACGTCTGCGAGTTAACTATTTACTACAAATTATGTTTTGCTGCCTTTAACTAACATAAAACTGTTAGTAAAATACTCCATAATATTTTAACTGCCTCTTTACATTTTGGAAGGGGCCTAAAATATTTTTTGTAAGAAGTTTTCGATACCATAGTCAAAATTTGGCCGTCAGTAAGAGAGCCAATCAATATAGGTGGACCTCAATGCATTTCTCAGGTAGATAAAAGTACACTTGGTTTGGGTACAGTCCATAAATGGAATTACCTCTCGTACATTAGTTTGTTTTCTTACCAGAGTTATAACTACCGAATGATTTGAGAATAAGTTAATGATTAAACGAATGAAAAGTCACTATTCGAATAATTTTATAATCTTTTTCGTTGAGGCTATTGCTTTTAGTCAAGCAGTAAATGTTTCAGGAGGATCACCATACCTTGCGTCAAAAATCAACGAAGCAAAAGACTTATTAGAATCTAACAAAACGTGATGTGTACTTGACTTGTATTTTAGAGATTTCTATGATATTTTACTGGTATTTTCTCATGAATATTACGTGCTAATGCTCCTAGAAGAGTAGCTAAAAGAGACGGCGAGTAATGTGCTCAATATTAGGACAAATAAACTTTTAGATGAAGTTATTTCGTTCATTTTTATGTAGGACGATATCACTGAATAGAAACGAAATAGTGTAGAAACGTTTGTGATAATGGTAGCGAAGGGGTTTAGTTGTTGGATTTGTTGCTTATAATCCGAATGAATATTACATGAATTTACTAATTTTTATTGAATTTCCTGTTTGCCCATAACCTCACAAAATGTAAAGGAAACTAACCTCTCTACAAAGAATATAATAGGGATTATGCATAAAGGTGTCACTATTACAGGCACCGTCAGGGTCAAAATCTAGCTCACTATTTCCTGCCCAACCAAGTGTCCAGCTATGAGGGATTGCTTGATTGGTACAGAACTAGACTGGAAGCTTGAAACTTTGCCTTGATATAAGTTGCTATGGGATTCATTGTATAAATCAAATGCGTACTCAAACGCCACAACGATTCGGAAAGCCGAGCCGAGCTCACTCTTACTGATGAGTGGGTTGTTATTATCCGTGGATATATTTTTATTTTCCTCCTCTTCCCTTCAAGATAACATGCTCAGCAATAAGAGGTCACATGCTCCTGAACATCATCTGTCCCTCCTGAAACTGTTCAAACTCATGGCGCCTTGGCACGCTTTTATGGTCTCCGTTAGCAAACAAATGCGTGGCCTACTCCTGATATATTAATTGACTCTGAGAGTTGCTTTATGAAGCAACTGGTTCGCTAAAATCCAACATTTTATCACTGATTTTTTTCTTTCAAAAAATTGGGTGGGAATTTCGCTGTAGGCGGAATGCTCGAACAATGGTTCCCGTATCAAGCATATCACAGCGTCCATATTTGCACAGGCGCCGACAAAGCAACTATAATCAGACGTTGGTCTCTTGTTTAGTACTTGGTCTACGTTGAGCGTGCTTTTTTCGATGTTAGGAAAGTCTGTTCCCATTGTACACGTGGTCTCTTCTATTTTGGCTACATTTATGAACTATTCGATTCCTGGCTCCATTTAATGCCTTACTACATATTTATGATAGCCTCGTGAAAAGATTGAAGTAAATTTAGTATTCTGACTGCTTGTGAGGTTTTTGTGGTAAAATTGTTAGTCAAAAATAATCATGTACATGTACAAGTAATCCAAATGATGACAAATGCATGGCGCAACCCAATAAAATCTGCATTTAAAGAAAACGTCTTAAGCTGTATGGTACGCTCTTTTCATTACATTTATCCGATTCCCTAAAAGTAGTAATGGGCACGAATCTATCTAGTGAGCGTGAGGGTTAGGACTGGTCCTTTATCTGGGAAAATTCAACTAGACAGGAAAATCCCGTCATATTAGGACTCACTGATTTAACATCAGACCGACGAAAATTCGATCGAAAATTAACTTACGGTAGCAAGATTGCCTAGTCTTCGCCGTATATGTTGTATAGGTTATTCGACCCTCCATGCCAGGAATTCCGCGGATATCGTATACATGGCGTATCTTGACAGAGTGGTTTGCCTTCGATAAATCTCTTCCTCGGCATTCTTATTCTGTAAATCGTTTCGCTGAAATCGCATAGCCCTTCAACGAGACAGGCTGGCTACAATGGAACAAAGCGGTTTTTTTCTCGAAACGTTTTATTTAATTTTTTTTCATAATTGGAGACCTCCACCTTTCTATTTTCACATGGTAGTGCGCCAGGTTACTGGGATGATCTTTTAGACCCATCAATGAAAAACGTTCCTCTTATGGACGACTGCTTACAAAGAGAGTTAGCCTTCCTAGAGGAATTCCCACGGTCGCAGGCTTGCTCGTGGCATTGACTTTGCCACAATGACTGTAACCATTCATGAGAATCCAAATTTTACCCTCATGTTGTACCCTCCGACATGCAGCGGGTGCGAAGAGCGAGTTTGGATACACGATCCTCCACCCCTCTTCAGACAGCGTATAAAGGAGAGGATGACACTTCAGCCAAGCCATCAAGTAGTGTCGTAGCCTATAATGGGCTCAGGTTTGAGGGTATTACGTTAATTCACCCAGATTGAGATGTAAGAAGTCCACGACAGGTGTTTCTCCAATTCTCACCATATCATGGCCATAATCTCAGGCTTGCAACGCTGTGAATGTTTCGGGAACGGTCCTTATCGTATCGCGGTCATAAAGAGGTGGTTGCATTTGTGAATGTCAATCAAGATCGATTCCACAGTATACATTGATTTCCATTAACACCTTTTCAGTCAGATTTCGGACTTTCTAGTGCACTTCGTCGCCTTGACTTCTAATAGTAGGGTTCCAACAATATTCAGAAGGAGTGGTCCTATTTTTTATCCATCGGCCCAGATCTGTCGTTCTTCTGTTTTCACTAGTTGACTCAATGTTGTGGCCATCTTGCAAAGCCAATGTGCTTTCACCTCACTTTTTGGAGTGATAGTTTCGAAGAAGTGGGCGTTATTGGTAAGCACGGGGCGTGGCCATCGCGGAGGGTGTTTAGAAAGCTGTAAGTGAAGAGCCAACCTATGGCAACACGCAGTATAGAGCTGCACGGAATCCGGCTAATCGAGAAAATGAATTAATCCTGTGCGAACTGTTTCTAGAATGACGAGTGGGAATTCGAACCCTTCATGACTTTTCTTTTTACCATCTCCGAATCATGAGCGAAGGTCGTGGCGCACCACCACTGACACGAGTCCCGTCTCGGTACGCTATACGCATTCGACCCGTGATCACGATTCGAATGGATGCGCTGGAGAGGGCGCATTCCACACGGACGTGATTGATGAACGAGCCGAGGTTTACCCTTAACATCCAAATCATCCATCAAAATGAAGTAATTTTTATGTTCTAGAACATTTTCCATGGTTTTCATGAAATATTTGCTTCAATGGTTGGCAAGTGGCGCACTATCTCACACGCACGGACAGGGGTTCGAATCCCGGTTCGATGCCCGCCTAGNCCAACGAAGCCTTCCAACCCTCCAGGGTCGCTGAATTGGTACCAGACTCGTCTGGGAGGAAAAAAGTACTGACTTGCAGATCGGCTTGCCACAGCAGTATAGGCCACATACGCGCTCATTACGCCGCTACGAAATGGTAATCGAGTGCGGGGGCGCATCCCTCAGTTGGGATTGATTAACGCTATAAACTTTATCCTTTATATCCTTTATTTGCTTCAATGTGAACAATGTGAGCGTAAAACTTTGTCAAAATTCATCATTCCTGGTCTATTACATTAGAAGTAACGCCTCTGTGTAGTGGAGGCAATCACTCCTTTTTCCGTCATCACAGCCGTCAATTTCGTCGCTTCTGAGTTGGAAACCTGTTCTTCGGTCGGGTTGCCTTGGAGAGTTTTGAGCACAGAGGCCTATCAATAGCTAATGAACTGGCTGGCTCACACCTCCTCATTCATTAGTTTCTAATATTCATCCAAAAGAATCAGTCGCTGGCTAGGTTCAACTGACGCTGGAAGAGCTTTACTTCTATCCTTTTGCTGATCCTATTGTCACGTATCACTTCAACTCCAAACTTCGTTCAGACCAATGAATCCATCGTATCAGGTAGGGTTGTTTAACTATTTGAGACATAGTAATAGTAGTAGTGATAATAATAATAATCTCCTCCACTCAAACAAATATTATTTTTGTTCAAATTTATTGCTTGTGTAGCTGGTTGTATTTACTTGGCTGTTTACGGCTCATTGTTTTGCTGTATACTTTGCTCGTGTTGCCTTTCCACTACATGCGCTCAGCATTTCAAATAAAGTATGAAATACGCGTATACATATGTATGTATAAATACATATTTATATATCGTTTCCAGAGGGGTTACATAGGGACCGTCTCAATAAAGCTTCGTTGCTCTAAGTTTGTTGGCTTTTCGAAAGCGTTTCGACTTAGTAGAATGGATTTCCTCGTCATGACAAAGAAGTATGACAGCTTCTTGAACGACCATAAGACGATCTTAAAAAAGCGTATTGAACAGACGGAGAAGAACCATAGGTGTAACTGAGAGTAATGGAGACGTTGTCACTTGTCGGCGACATACCGGTATTGGACCCTGTAAAATTTTTGACGGCAGATTCCACCCTGAAGTGCTTTGGCATACCGAATGTCGAGGGCTAGAACGGTTTCTTGTGAAGCTGTGTTTGCCATTAAACCATCCGTTGAGGTAGATCGTAAGCTGGGAAATCACCAAGGAAGACGGAAAGTGTCTGGGTTCCGCATTTTCTGGCGTAAATGTGATGAGGCGATGCGAGACCCTAGTAAGTTGGTCCCTTTTGGTGGATCCAAGTAGTACTACTCCTAGAACGCTTTGGTATGGAAGAGACGTTGCGATATGTTTTCTCGTCGTCCTTCGAAGGATAAAAGTATTTTAATGTGTTGCCTCACGAATTCATGACCAGAGTGACGTTGTGTCAAAGCAAAATGTTGTTATTGGTGAATAATATGAGCAAAATATCAAGATCGGATTACGCTGTGAACAACTCTGTTGTCGACAAAATGCAGATGAGCCGTATTTGGCAGAGCCCTGTAGATGACAGTTGTGCTGGTGCAGGCCTTCCTTTATCGTCAAAGCTGTGAAGTTCGCTTTCATATAGAAATTCTACCGTATTCTATCTCGCATCAAAACCTTGTGTCATAGTAGAGTTTTACTTGATGGAGAATTGCGAGTTTGTAATTTTAACGCAAATTGGAAATTTTTAATTATGAGAGCTTGAGTCTGTTTACACCAAAACTTCCAGCGGAACATTACTGATTCACGAGTTTTTTTTTATGGCGCCTCTTATAGAATGAGCATGTTTCTGTTATTTTGGGTCAGGAGCACTTTCTTACGCAACATCTTGTAGACCTCTTAGGCAGAAGATACCGGCATAACCTTCTTTGTCATTAGCTTCTTGTGGGAGTGCAACTGCGATGCCATTAGTCCCGCGCTAATTCGGGAAGATTATGATTCTCGGAAATTTGCTGTTGTGAGTGGTGGTGACCTTCCAAGTGCGTAGAGTTGTGATAGAGAAAGCAATGATAAGTAATGAAAACGACAAACTGTTCTCCTTTTTATTCTTGTTTTCATTAGATAGGTGGAATATGTCGGTACCTTTGCATGTTGTTCCTTTGCCTGAGTATTGTTCTGTTCGCTTTTGTCCTCCTGACAAAGAGGCAAAGAGGTGAAGGATCCGATGGACTGATGGGGTAATGGGGTTGTGAAAGTTTCGTTGTTGCCTAGACTTGATTGAATTGTTCGCTGGAATTGGTCGAATTAGCTAACAGTCTTCATAAGTTCCCATTTTCCGCGTTGAAGCGATCCATCGCGTGTAAGAACATATTCGTCAAGTTGCGACTTTTTATTCCCTCCCAACCAAAGCTCAGGAGAAGAACTCCGCGATCAGGCCTGTGTACAACGATCTGGCTCCTTTAGCAGATTCGGATTTGAGATCATCGTTCGAAATCACTAAGCGGTATAAATCCGATCTGGAACGGCCATTGCGACCAAGCATCCTTCCCTTGTAGATACAATTGTTGTCCGCACACTAAGAGCCATATCCTCCCTTAACTGAAAATGTCTAGTTAGCTCAGCAATCCAGTGCGAGTCGTAGTCGTAGCGTGGTGGTGGCGACGACAAGTGGCCGAATGTAAGCCGGAAGACCCCTTCAGTGTGAGATTCCCAAAACCGTATTCTCCTTCCGTTTCCTATCGCTCCCACGTCCGTCACCTCCTGTAATCAGTGGATTCATTAAATATGCGTAAGCCATCGAAAAATAATTCAACCCGAGAGCTATCGATCTAACTTTTGTCTAGTTGAAAACTAAACCAAGCTTTATTTGTTACAGCTTTTGTCACTGACTGTTCCAGTTCATCCAAACCGAATTTTTCTCGTTTTATTCCAAACTAAGCTTGTACTATAAAATATTCTTATGATGAGCAGCAGGAATTTCTGTCCATTCCACCTTTTTACGATATCTATTTATTTTCTGACACTTTTATCAAATGTATAAACATTGCTAATCATGCAATCTATCGGTGTACACAACTTAAACCACGAACGAAATGTGGCGGAAATGACGATTAATTTGTTCACAATCTAGCCAATAAGGTAGTAAACAAGATGCAGTAAACAATATCCATACAGTATGAAATCAGTAAACAAGCATATAAGTGGACAAGCCAACTCATGCTTCATTTTTCAAGACTTCTAAAGCTCCTAAAGAGACTACCCAAAACCACACCTAGTTTCTTACTTTTTGTTCCCAGCAGGTGATCATTCAATTTTTGCTAATTTTTTTTNTTTTTTTTGACGGTTGAGTTTTTACTGAGCGCTTGACAAACGCGCAAAAAAGTGACTACATTTGGATTAGCAGAGCAGAGATGAAGCTTTTTATTGAAGGGGGTTCTTAAATCGGCTTTCTTCGTGGTAAGGCTAACTGCACAATTTTTTTTCAAGCGGCGATAAAAAAGTGAATATGCAGGCGAAGCACCCGATTTTCAGGGTGCTGAGAAAATCTACTAAGGCAGGACGGAAGCTCGTTAGCACTATTTGATAACTTTTCTGTCAACTTCAGTACTCGCTTGGACTATCCTTCACAACTCTTCCATACAATGTCTAGGCTTTTTCGATTTATTCTGAGAAACTGAACTGTAGGGTGCAAGCGCAATCATCCAACAATATCTCGTAAAGTTCAATTGCCAAGTAAGGTTTTATTTTCCAACTATTCAGTTCGTCATTGATGGATGATGGCCCAACAAGGAGTGAAGAAGACCAAGCAGCTGCTCATTGTGACTACTGTATTGTTCGTAATCTGCACATTTGCATTTTACTTCACTTTCTCTGAACAGCCTAGAGTAAGTTTAGATAGGCTATGAATACAGGTTTGAGCAGTCGAAGCGATGAATAGTATGAACGCATAGATTCAACCAAAGTACGATTGATCGGGTGCCCAAAAAGTCATATTTGGGGGCCAAAACGAGCCCATCAAAATGACACCTACCCCCATCTTATTTTTGAAGCTGGTTCTTAATAGGGCTCTCATTCGGTTTTTCAGATGTTATTGTTTAGGTGTAGAGACGGTGCAGTGGCAAATAGTGCGCTATATACCCCATTGTCCGGGGATCGAATTTCGGAACCAGACCGACCAAGCCTTTCATCCCTTCGGGTTTGGGCTATGGGTACCAAACACTTTTGGGAGGTTGAAAACGCTAAAAATTGCACATTGGCTCGCCGAAGAAGAACAAAATAATAAGTTGTTCACCTAGCTAAACTGAAGGGGCATCCCAACTTGCAGAGTTTTTGAAAGCGTTGAGAGCGAAACTTGAAGTTTCTGAGGAACAGAAAGATTTCAGTGATTCAGTATACTCTTCAGAACGTCCCCATAAATGAAACACCGCCGGAACCTCAGTGTCAGTGTAACTTTGCTGGCACCATTTATGACTTCTGCTATCATCTACCACCAAAACCACGCGTTGTTGGAAAACGTTTCGACTGCGCTAATGCCGTACACTTGGAAAATCTTGGTGAATAATTTTTTTGCAATTAGACTTCGCACTTTATATCTAAAGAACTTGATTGTAGACCAGCACTCAGCAGGGAATGAACGAAGTTCTGTTCAGAATCTGAGTTCTTTCGGAAGAGTTTTTCTGATTCACGGTTTGGCTCGAACAGATACTGTATTGGGCAAACTAAAAGTACTCTTAATAAAGTTGGTTCTAAGACCGCGGTTCACAATTGTTTTGTGGTCCAAAAATATAATTGTTCCGCTCCCAGTAATAATGCGCTATCGCGACCGCGCACGAGACTGCGCATTTCGACAACCACGCCCATCCCAGCAAGGATGCTCATGAAACTGCAGTGGTCCCTGTTCAGTACTTTATGCTGTGTGTTAAAAGTGATTACAGGAATTGACGGATAAGTGAACAGGGAATTGCTTTCGAAACTTTTCAGGTCTCCTATCGGCAGAGTATGCTCTTAACTTGAAGAAGGATGCGTTCCCGGAGCCTGTGTTTGTAACGGCTATGTCTGACAATCATTTCAGAGAGGGACTAACACTCGTGAGTTATGTTTCAGTGGAAAACGGGACTAATGAAATGTGGTCGTTCTTGTAGTGGTACTGTAGCAAAAAATGATGACCTGTCTCTATTTTTTTCATTATTTCAGACTTTCAGATAGCGAGCATACGGAAGTTATGGCCCCAAAGGAAAATACTAATCTATGATTTGGGGTTGCGAAGGTAAGTTAACAGAATTTCTCGTTCTTATTTTAGCCCTTCTTCTGAGGTTTACAATATCCAACTTTTCATTGATATTCAAGAACTAAAAGTAAGATGTAAAGTGGTGTGATATGATCTTTACGTACATTAAGGAGAAATGTCTCTTGGAAATTCGCGTGTTTCCGTTCGACATCTTCCCGTCGTATGTGAAGGACCTATATCAGTTCCGATGGAAACCTTTAATTATTGCGGTTAGTTTGGTTGTCGTTCTGGTCATATCTATTCGTGTTCGCGTCTCTGAAAAATGAATAAGTGCTATAAGAGGAAGGGATGTAGGAGGGGGGGGGGGAAGCCTTCATCCCTGGTACGAAATCTGCTTGGGATAGTTAGGCCTCATGATGGTCTGAACTCTAATTATTGAAGTCAGATTCACCTGAGAGACGGAAAACACTAGCTAGTATAGGACACTAACTGATTCTTATTCTGTCGCTCTGTAATGAAGCAGATCGGCTATACTTCGGATACCTATGGACCAGAGTCTTCTTACAGAAGTCGAGCCAGCAGAGTAGTCGCGTTGACGTCGGCAAGGTACCACTCGACGAGAGAAAGGTGCGAGTAACCAATCGGTTGCAAAGAGATGATTCTGATTTGCGAGAATTCGTAAGAGGATCTGGACACTGAAGGAGAAACTGGATCACACCGGGCCACAATCGCGCAAGTCAAGTTGAGCGGGATCAATGAGTGCACTATAACTTGGTATAGTACGCATCTACACATGGGTCTCTTCGAAGCTCAAGTATTCATACGCCATTAGAATAGCAGTGAAAGCGAATTGCATGGCGCAACTTGGGGAATGTAGATCAATGCCGAATATTTCACTGTTCCCCTCTTTCTTGAATCAAACATTTATTTCATTTGATTGTCTTAGTGTTTAAACTTCTGTTCATTCCCTCGGGAAAGCGATACCATTCAGATGACCTTAAAGGAATTTGGAGCAGTTTGGTACATGGACACTTCGATACGATGGAAAAAGGATCGTCTCGATCTAGTACATGATGAGATACGGTGTCGGGGAGATCATGATTGGCCAGAGTTAGTGAACGTTAAATTTCAGAGCTATTTATTGTTTTATTGTTAGTTTTGAGCGACGACAAGTGAACATATGAGCTGATGTTACTGACTTTGATTGGAAAAAAAGTTTATCGGCATGTTTTGAAAGCCAGTTCCAAGCATTTCATCAATTGTCGACCTAAAATACACTCAAAACCCACTGGCTCCTATAAGATCATTTAAACGCAGTGCAAATAATTAAGAACCACACCTTTTATTTGATTAGCTTGTGCCATGATTCAAACACACCGGCGCGCGTATGCGATGCATGCGCAAATGACGTCATAGCGACGCCTAGCGCTTTACGTCTCGATTTTTAACCGTAGCGGTCCAAATTTCAATTTCAGGTCAAGAAACTTTCTCAAAAATCCAAATGTTACAACATGTGGAAAGGTAAATTCAACTATGTAGTAGGATTTATTTGATATGTATTCGCTCAAATGCAAGTACAATAGAAATGTATCGGATTCAGTCCGCATATCTTCTGCAGTTGTCATCATCACATGGTGTTTTCCCGACTACAAATCCAGGTACGACTCACGAAAATTTTTTGTAGAATTTTTTTTTGATATTGACTTTTCGTTTTGTCGTCTAGGAGTTTATGAGTATATTCCCACCATACTCCGCTATTTGAAACAACGATCGAGCGAGAATCATGATGCCGGTTTTGCATTTGTCGTCAGAACGAAAGATGCCATCAAAATTCTGAAATGGTAGGTTAAGTACATATTACTACTGAGCTTCAATCCTGTTACATTCGGGGATGAGCGTGCTATAAAAACTCCCAGAGAGCTAGACCGTCTATTAAGTTTACCTCCTGCTCAAACCTTTTTGAAAGGCCATAGATTAGAGATGGTGGAAGGAAATGGTATTCAACGGGTGGCGGTGCTTCTCCCCGATTTTTTACGGCAGCGATAGTTGCTCCGAAGTGGCTACTTATCCTTCCAATGGGAGTTCAGAATTTCCTCTCACGCGACTGCGAGCGATCGAAAGCGACGCGATTTCTGGGGAGAAGTACCACACTCGCTCCCTATATTCCCTCAATATTGTGTTCCAAAACACAGTTTTGTAGCGCTTCTGTTCTAGTATGACTCTGTTTCCTTTCGGAAAATATCGAGTCATAGTGAGGGGAAAAGTTGGAGTGACTACCCTGATTTGAACTGGTTGAAAACTGTGAATTTTAGGTACGTCCTGTGCGCATTGGAAAAAGATTGCATGGCACCTCCTGGAGCACAGCTATATTGCAACTTTGGAGAAGATCGTTGGGATCATTACGCAGGATGTCACAGGTAGGGAAATTGAAGAATTTGCAGAAGCAAAATAGATGTAATGTGCGCTTGCCGCCATACGCGTCGCTCGCGACGCGCGAGAAATTCGCTTTTTGTCTCAGCGGCGCAGATGCCACAGCTCCTGACAAAAATCTCGGTAGTTCGTGAAGTTCAATAAATGACCTATTGCAGATATGACCAGTCAGTAATCAACCTTCTACTAGCCAATGCTTACGGGTACAATGCGAAGAACTACGTCAGCTGCCTCGGATTTGAAGGAGCTATTGTCAATCGATCAGCTTCGAATTCATTGAAAGCAGAAGACTTTTTGTGCGATTCACGATGATTTGGGGATTTTCTTCATATAATACATAGTTGTATATATCTGTTGATTTCTTTTTTATAAATCGCTACGGTTGAAATTTTCATAAATGATTTATATGTACATACCCCTCTTTTTGAATTTGTTTACTCTAGTACGGGTTGGTACAGTGAATTAGTGCTCCGGACAGATCGAGTGAAGTATCTAGCCGATTTCAGTATCACTCGATCAAGAATGACTACACGTAACCACTAAGCTACGCAGTTGTGCACGCATTATTCTGGAACGAGCGATATTGGGGTAAGCGCAATAATTTGTAGGTGCTTCTAGTTGTTAGAGTGAGTCAGTCAAAGTGATCCACGCTATCGGCTGCTTGGCTGTCTGCAGCTAGTCGGTATAGCCGGGCAACACTATGATATTGCTTATTTGCAAGAGAAAAATTTTCTACCCGAGTATGGAGACAGCGGACCACTGTATTCAGCCTAACCATGAGCCTGGCGTTCACTCACACGAAGCGGCTTGATTAGTATCCGGGCCTGTCCGAACGCCTCCGCCTGTAGAAAGAAAAGAACAGTACCAATTCAAATCCAGTATGGTCTCGGTTCTCGTTAGCTGGTGGGTCTCCAACTACAAGACAGGGATCAGAGTTGGTGGGATTAGAGTAGGTGGGTAGTTGGTGACTTTTTAATATTATATAATAGCATTTCGAAAGTTTGCACTTTTTGTTTTTTTCTACCATATATACAGGGTGCGCCATATGGTAACAACTTTTCGGACCTCCGTATTTTCCTTGTTTGGAGGGTTTCTAAAAGGTTTACTTTCCCTTATGTTTATGATATACTCTAGGCCACATATCTACTTTGGTACTCCCAAGACATCAGATTTCGAAAAAGACATCCACCGACCGTTCCGTCTTTGCGGGCATTTGTTGAGTCCTTTCGGGATCGCTAATCGTTTCAACATTTCTCAGATGACAGTCTCTTGAACCGCGATGTGTAGACAGGTCAATGACAAACCTCAAAATGGTCGTCTTGTCTTACATACGACCGCTTTTCTGAACACAATGGCTTGGGAAGGAGTACGCTGCGGCACCTCAAGAAACACGAGAAAAATGACTACTGTTTGTTTGTATGTTCTAGTCGGATGCGAAGAGTCTACCCCGAGTAAATGCATTGTCTCCAGATAGGTTTCGAAAGCCTTATAAGCTTCTTGACGCGAAGAAAATGGAGGGGAAGAGCAAATGTCATGCGCTACTTTAGAGAGGCCCTGCTCCGACACCCTGAAGCCGCTGATAAGAGTCTGATCGCCTCTCGTAGCCGTTTTCCTCTTTCATGATGGTTTGAGCAAGAATATCTACAATATCGCAAGTTTTAGACAAGAAAAGCACGGAATACAACCCGAACCTTTTTAACGAAGATTTTTCTGAAAGGATGCAGCTGAGGGTCAAAGATTTCTGTAGGGACACGTTTTGAAAACTACGGCGCACTCGCTCACGAATGGGAAAAGATCAAGACTGAGGAAATGTTCGCGACTTTATCCCGGCTTCCAAATTTCCTATGAACTTCTCGTGCCACAATGATATGGGTCGCTGGGTATAGGCCATATGGAGAAGAAAGCCTGCGCTTCCAATTGCCCCACAGTTGACGCTCCTTAGAAATCACTAAAAAAAGCCCGGGCTGGAGTTTCACTAGAAACTCTGCGTGCCACCGTCGATAAGTAGCCGAAGCATATTCGAGCTATAATTAGTACAAAAGACGGTTACGCAAGATCAGTGTGTGATCATTTTGTAGATCCGATACCTAGTAAATAATTCACATGATTTCACCATGCACCAATAAGAACTGCGGTATCTGTAGCAAAATCCTTTGTTACCATTTTTGTGGCGCACCATGTATATTCCTATCTACTGAGAGAATAAGCTCTACTTGAGTCCTTACACCTCGGAGTTGGCACTAAACTTTTTCGATATTACTATTATTATTACACATCTTACAATAAAATGTAGTAAGGGCAAGACAATGAATAAATTCAAGATCATCACATTACATGAAAACTATGTAGCCTAATCAGTGACGTACCTAGACACCTTAGCAATTTCCGTCCAATCAGTCTTACACCGGCTGTCAAAGTGATGGAGAAAATAATGAATGAGAGATTTTGGCCTGGCTTTCAAGGTACCACCTTATTCCCCCAGAGCAACACGGCTTTGTTCCCGGATCCTCAACCACTTCTCATCTTTCTGATACATTATTTGACTTTTGCAAAGCTCTTAATTCAGGCAAATCAGTTGACATGGTCTAATTTGACCTGTCCAAGGCGTTTGATAAAGTCTCCCACACTAAACTGCTAGCCAAACTAGAAAAGATTGGAATTCGATGCAAACTCTTAGCCTGGTTAGATTCCTATTTGCAAAGCAGACATTTTACTGTCAGAACTGGGTGTGATTTTTCGAATAGCGGTGTCTGAGCGGTGCTCTCCAGGGGGATGTGTTCTCACTGTGGAATGATTCGTAACTGAGGTTATCTCTTAAAAGAATGGCTGACTGGGCTGAACACTGGGACATTCCTCTCAATTTGGATAAATCCATGACCATGCATTTTGGTGACTCCCAACCAACTGCCTACCACGTAAATGACATTCAGCTTGCAGCCTGCCTATCTATCAAAAATCTTGGTGTACCTTTTGATTCGAGGGTAAAGTTTCCCCTCCACATTGAGCAAGCGGTGAAGAAAGCGTGCATGAGCTTATTCGTCTTGTTCCGTAGTGTGCGGTGGGATTTATATGATTATCCATGTCTTCCTGAAAGTCTATGTAAGAGTACTATAAGAGTACTAGCAGCATTATTCTGGAACGAGCGATATTGGGGCAAGCGCAATAATTTGAAGGTCTTCTAGTTGTTAGAGTGAGTCAGTGAGGCTTATCTACGCTAACGGCTGCTTGGCTGTCTGCAGCTGGTCGGTGGTATAGCCGGGCAACACTATGATATTGCTTATCTGCAAGAGAAACAATTTACTCCGCATTTGCGGTAGCTGTAGCTGCGAATAGGGCGTCGGGAAACGAAGGTTTTTCGGTATACAGAGCTCACAGTGCTGTCGGGTTAAATGGAAGAAGAAAATAAGCAAGTTGTGAAAGGGATGAAGGTGCATGAAATGATGGTGGTTCACTGCATTTGGTGGGCTAGACAAGTACAGGGATCCGTAGGAATAAGAAGGAACAACAGGAGCAGCTAACTTTGGTTTGAAGCTGGAGAAATCGCCGAGCTCGAATTCGGAGTAGTACAAGTGAGACATTATGCTCATCCGATGACAAGTAGCATATGTGCATAGCAGCAGCAATATGTGGCCATATTAATTACGGCCATAAAAATAAAAGTTGTAATAATACAATATATAATTTAATCACACAATAAAAAAGGTCCAGAAGAGATCGGAAGAAGTAGCCAAAATAATCACTTCACATTCTTAGTGACAGGAAGACAAGAGCCTTGTTTATGTGAGGTGCTTCCATTCTGTTCAATTCATTTACATCCTGCTTATCGACACTTCTGAGACTAATCATTTAAAATTGGTAGATAAGGTTTTAAAAAACTGGGAGGTTATCAGCTCGACGATCGCTCTAATGTGCTCAGAAAAAGTTGAAAGTTACTGCAGTGGGGAGGGTACTGGATTGATAAAGATACACAGTTTCCATGTTCTGTTTCTATTCTAACAGTTTCCATATTATATTATATGAAGGTTTTGAATTTCTACATTGTCTTGCCCTTACCGTATATCATTTTAAGATGTTCGCTAAGACTACCAGAGAGGTCACCAACCAACCAATTAAGGGAGGTCACCCCACGACGAATGAGTGAATGTGCGAGGAAGGGGTGAAGTATGTAGATTTGGAACTAAGTACCGTCTCCCGTAACAGGTTTGCAGAAGGGGAATGAGATCCTACAGAGAAAACCCAGGCTTCTTCTGTACAAAATATTNAAAAAAAAACTCCTTCTATCTGCAAAGATTAGGCCAATATTGGCTCGGAAGTGCTTTTGTTCGTTGGCCTTAGCAACAAGAACACGTAGCCGCCTCCATTCTTTTGGGCGGATTCTTATTCTTTTATATTCGTCTCACTAGGAGAAGCTCCTTTTCGCCGGCATGGGAAATCTTCGATAATCTCGTGGGACCCTGTATTATGACGACGATCTTTCCACTTGTTCCGAAAACATTTTCAGAAAAAGCTTCCATTCTATTGTTAATGGGACGAGCAAAAACAAAGCGATCCATCTTCTTCGTTTGGGTGATTTTTCTGGCGTGCTTATTAATGATTTACCTGCGTTCTTTTCAGCCCTCAACGGTAAGTTTGGCTTTTGTTCTCGACACTGACCCGGTGGCACTTAATGCCAGTAAGAAACTAGACTGACTTCGAAAACCAAAGAAGTCAGAAGTTTTTTTGCTGCAAAATCACATGGTCACAATTCAAAAATCACAAAAATCACTTTACAATCATTGACTCATCCAGTTCAGGCGTATTCCTTATGCATGGTTTTTCTTGGTTTTTCTCTCACAGTAATCATGTTTTCATTTTGACTGTCAAAGAAAAATTAGAAACATGTTGCTATTTCCTGTTCAGTTCTCTTACCATCCAATCTTCCCTGATGAGCAATGCCGTTGCGCATTTAACGATGGTTTATACGATTTTTGCTATCATTTACCGTTACAACCTGAAGTTCGAGGACGACCATTTAACTGTATCTATGCATCGTACCTGGAAAGATTAGGTATGTTGCATGCCTTCTTGAATTGCTTGCATTGATACATTGGAATAATATCTATGTAATATGTTATAATCAACAGTCAACATCACCACTGAACGAGCAGTTCACGATAATTGTGAGGTATGTAGTTTTAATGGGGCAATGGAAGTGATTGACCAGAATAGTGCAAAAGTGGCGAGAAACGAGAAAATCGGCGTGTCCGTAAAAGTATAAAGGATAAGGATAAAGTTTTTGACATTATCATAATCCCGTCTGAGGGATGCGCCCC